TATTTTTGAGGTTTATTTTGATTGTCTTGCTGTTTTTGTCTACATTCGGAAATACTATGTCCGTATCGTCGGCAATAATTACACCATTTTTTGAAAGATGGTTTGCCTTTAAAGTTTGGGTTCTTTTCGTAAATATTGAGTATTTCAGTGATTTTTTCAACGAGGTCTGTCTCTGATTCCTGTATATTATTAATATTAGTGGGAGTCGTTTCAATTCTGTTAACGTATTGTAATTTCAGATTTTCCGTTTCTTCTAGTTTCATCGTGATTTCTGCTTGTTCTAATTTGTCTACTAGTTTTCGAAAATCTAAATCGGGTTCTCGAATTGAAGAAGGATGGGATGCTCTCTTTTTTATTGCTATTTTCCTTAATTGTGGTGTTAAGGTCATCATTAAGATTTCTGTCATCTTTGTGTTTTAATAGTCGTGCGTATTTAGTGAATATGCTTTTCGAACTAGTGTTTCGATTCGTACTGCTATTTGCTTGATGGTTTCGTTTGGTAATCTGCGAATTTCATTACATAAAACTCTTTGTTGTTGTTTGTTTCTTTCGGAGTCAAACATTTTTGAAAATTCCTGTGTAAACCTTTTCCAGTTTGATTTTATTTCTAGAGGTAGTACTGAAAACCATTTTTGGGCTGCGCCATCTAAGGTTGTTTGTATTAACGCTGTGCGTCGATGTATCCAATTTTGATGTAGTGGCGTATTAATTGGTTCAGGTCCAATATTTAAAATCAGGTTTGCTGTTACTGCATTTAAATAATCTTCTACAGAGTATTCAGGGTCTGTTCCTGTGAAAACCATTAAAGGTTTGTTTGATGTTATTGATGATCCACCCATAAGGTATGGATTCATTGTCATTTGTAATGATTCTGCTGCATTTGGCATTTGAGAAAAATTTGAAAGTTGGTTTCTTGTTATTTCATGTTGTTGGAGATAATATGGGAGTGGTATTTCATTTTGCATTTGTGATGCTTGATACGAGTGTGCAGTCATTGGATTTTGTTGTTGAATTGGTTGAAAAGATTGTGTATTAATTAGATTTTGTTGTTGAATTGGTTGTTGATGTTGTGCATCTATTGGTTGTGGAGAAAAATTTCTATGATTTGTACGTGTTCTCTGTATTCCTTGTCTACGATATTCTTGAGTATTTGGTGCAAATATATCTGGTTGTAAGAAATCATCATCTGAGGATAAATAATCCATTTGATAAGATGTCTGTTTTTTATTTTTATTTTGTTGAAAAAATGGGTAATTTTCACTGTGATCCTGTGGAGGATTTGTTTGGAAATTTATTGAATTAGGTTGGGTCATTGGGTTATCCCAATTTCGAGATCTTGTATATTGGTTAAAATTTCTTTGTGGTTGGTTATATGTTTTTGATGGATGTGTATAATTATAATTATGGTCTGCAAAGTTGTTTCTAGTGAATATTTTGTGTGTTTTTGATGGTATTGTCATGGGTCTGTATGTTTGGTAATCCATATGTGAATATTTAGGAGCAACCGAAGGTTTAACGGTTGATTGTAAGGTTACCTGTGTTTGTGAAGGGTTTGTATTTCTTGGTGTTGTTAAATTTGGACGTATTGGTGAAATACTTTGTTGTGTAGTTGTTGTGTGTACGATTTCTTCATTTATGAAGTGTGATGGTGTCTGGATATCTTGTTGAGTAAGATTCCTAGTTCCATTGAGGTTTTCATTGTGTATGACTGTAGAGTTTAAACTATTATTTTGTGTATCGGGCAAAAATGTATTATAGTTTAATGGTGTTGCATCAATGGTTAATGGTATTACTTTTACATAATCTCTTATGTAAGATATCGTACTTATTGCTTGACTTGAGATTGATTGTGGGAAGCTTATAAATGCGGGATGAGACCATTCGGGGTCCCAAACATAATCTGATTGTTCTGTGATAGCGGTATCATCGTTCGAGTTTTGGGGTCTAAAATTTTTTCTTGCTTGTGCAATTAAATCAATATTGTGTGTGAACTAATCTATTATGAACCATGCCAAAATTTTTTGTAGATCGTGTTTTGTATGTTGTGAAACGTCGTCTTTCGTGAAATTTTCTTTAATGATGTTTAAATAACTAGAGAGTAGTGTGATTTCATGTCGTACTCTTAAATGTTTAGATGTTTCTGTCGGTGAGACATTTGTTATTGGGATTTCGTTTTCTAATATCGAAATATAACTATATATTATTGCGAAAACTTCATTGGTGAATATGGAGTTTGCTCTTTGTGAGTTATGATATTGGATGCTTTTTATATATTCTGAAAAAACTTTTGAAAATTCTAAATCAAGATCGTCTGTTTGGATTGTATATTTTCTATGATTATGGTTTGGTGAGGTGAATTCTATGGAGTAGATTCCATACTGTTGTGTTATGTTGCATATATCTTTTAAGTAGTGATCTATGATTTGTCTTTTGATTTTTACATCTGGGAACTCTGTTTTACATGGACTGATTCCGGGTTCAAATAAATTTAATAGTAAATTTTTGCAAAATATATGCTGTCCTCTATCAGTGGTTGCATCTACTATAAAGGGAAAGATTTCATCATTATCTGGACTTTCTTCACCTGGGGTGTGCGTTGAGCTCATTTTTTCGTTCGATGACTGTTAATATGTAATTATTAATGTGTCGAATTGGTTGATTCCAATTGTATAAATGTACTGGTTTGTGTTTATACTGCTTTTTTATTCTTCTTTTTCCTCTTTTTGATGAATTTGAAGTTGTTTCTGAGTCAGAAAAATATAATTGATCGTGAAGTGGGCAATTTTTATCTATTGATTCTTTTAGTTTGTAAAGTTCGTCTAAACTGTTGGTTTCTGATTCTGAAAATGCGTTTCGATTTTTTGAAAATCTTTTTCGTGTTATTTGTCTTTGTTTCGTTATTATTTTTCTTTTTAGTGTTTGTCGTTTTGTTCGAATGTATCCAACTGTTTGTGTATGAGGTGTGATTACAAGGTCGTATTTTTTGTTATCTATTTCACAATTGTGTAAAACGATTGTTTGTTTATTTCCTAGGTTTTTAAATGACATAAGGTTTAGGATGACGGATGCAAAAAGTTGTTAAATGGTTTCTATTTTCTTAAACTGTTAGTTCTTACGATTTTTTGGTTAGCTTAACCTGGGTCTGTTTGTTCAGGGTTGGAGAGAAAAGTATATCGATTCCGAAGAAGGATTTTTTACTTTCTCGTGGCTAGTATAAGTTAAGGTGTTAACTTACTTAATCTTACTTAGGAGTAGTGATTGTGTTCAAGGGTTGGAGAATAGTAAATCGATCCACAGGGTTCAGGTATAATTAGAACGCGAGTAGTTCGTTAGATACTATTTTAAACTTACTAAGTCTAAGATTTATCCTGGGTCTGGTAAGAGGGGGGGTCAAGTGAAGGATGAATAACCGAAGTTCTTCACTGTTTATCCTAATTTGAATGATTAGTTTTTGTTTAAAAATTTCTATTAGTCTTAGGTCTTTAGAAAGGGTTGGGTAGTGAATCGACGTTTGAGGTCGTTAGACACTAATTAAGTGGATGGGGGAGAACAAAGTTGTTCTGTTTGATCCAAGGATAAGCCTTGGTGATCAAATTTGAAATTTAATTAAGTAGAAAATGATTTAAGATCCAAGGATAAGCCTTGATGATCTGGTTTTAAAATTAAGTGAATTTAAGTTTAAAATGTTTTAAATGTGTGTAAAGGAAAGATTTAGTGTTTTGATGATATTAGTGGGTTTATGATTGCTGTTATGTTTTAGATGATGGAGCTGGAACAACAGGATGATTTATGATTACTAACCATTTATTGTCATGCTACTAATTTTTATTTTTTATTTTTCAATAAATATTTTTCAAACATGTTTTGTATATTACTGCAGAGTTTTAGGAAAACGATCTTAGATCTTTTTATCAATCGTTATTGTATATTAATAATTTTGTTTAGCGCCTGAAATGATTTTGAAGATTAACTTCAAGGTTTTATGTTTGCAAATGAAAATCTAAATTCATTGCCAGTAGTATTCTAAATATAAAAGTTTGTTCTGGTTTTTGCCTAACTATCATATAGCTATATGGCAAGTTTCTACTTTGTCGTATGTCGTCTCTGGTTCGAGGTCTTCTTCCAATTCCGGGTAGTTCTGTTATGGTTCGGAATATTGGCTCTGATCTATTGAGTCGTAGAGACATTTCGATTAAATTATTGTCGTATAACATTTTTTAAATGTTTTTGTCTAATTTCTAATCTATTTTGGTTAATTCTAAGCTATTAAGGTCTTGTTCGAGACTTATGGTCGCACCAGATGAGTTAGGACCGAGTTGGTTAACTCATAGAGTAATTTCGGATAGGGTACACCGTCTGCTCGTCACGCTATCTTATTTTCGGCCGGATAGATTCGTGCAACTTCTTAGTCTAATACCGATCCTAATCTTACTCTTATACTATCTAGTCTCAGGTTGTTTAACTAGTCTCTGCTAGGCTCAATAGATCTAGGGTATACTGGTTTATTGCGGCTGCTGAAGTGCTCGGGAGAGTCCAACTAATTTCTAAGTTAAATTCAAATCTCTCTGGTGCTGAAATTACAAGTAACTTCAGCACTTACAAATAAGTGGGTTGTTAGTTAGATGGATCATGATTGGTTAATATTAAATACTTTACATTGGTAAAATATCTAAATTATCCAATCATAAAATGTAGTTTAGATCAGGTTCCAGAAAGGCCAAAAACGACGCTTTTAGGCATCTTGTAGAAGATTTTGACCAAAAGATTGCGTTTTTTGGCTCCGACTCAAATTAGTATACATTAGCGCTGGAGACACCTTTTGAAAAAATTTAGGGCCGTTCAGCTAAAAATTATGTTGTAAAATAGTACCGAAAAGGGGACCCTTTGGGTTGTCAGGGGTCGAATTCCTGAGGATCCCCCAAAAAACCCGTGACCTTGAGCAGACGAGTTTTTCAAAAATGTACTGTATTACTTGAACAATTTACACGCCAACCACTTACCATCTTATGGTCTTATCGTAAGAAGAAGAGAGCAAGTAGTCGTCGGTGAGGATGAAGTTGTTCACGGCGGCCTTGTGTCCGGAATATTCTAGAATGAATTCTCCGTCATTCTCGATGTCCCATTTGCGCAGTGTTTTGTCATCAGATGCAGTCACCAGGAACTCGTCGAATATCCGAAGAGAAAGGATGTAACCTTAAGTCAAAATTAGCGATGCTACAAAAATATGCGCAAAAATTAGTATTTTTCCCCACATTTATCCCCTCACCACATGGTGTCTGTTAAAACTAATAACAACCGTTTTCTTCCAATAGGGTAACGAATCATCAAAAATATTCCCAAAAGTGTGTTATTACAAATTTGATTTTAGCCCGATTTCTTAAAAAGGAGTGGGCGTTGATTGAGTACCAATTCCCTGGGTGGATATTGATCTTTGATCCAAATAAATCTCAACTCCCAGCGAAGCAGGTTTGGAATTATTCGTTTTACGGCTGGCTGATTGTTGCTACGCCAGTTGATTCATTGGCTTCTTGGATTTACTTTACCCATCCCACAAAGAATCTTAATCCCTTGATGCCACATAGCACACCTTGTTGAGGACAGACGAGCTCAATGCCAGACTAGTGAAATACCAGACCAAACTCAAGGTCAGACTTGAGCAATAGAAACCTAATTAAAGGTCAACTGGTATAAAACTCAATGCACTCAGACAAGGTCAACTGGTCTGCTGGTATTTGATAAACTAATTAATTAACTGGTAATTAATTAACTGGTACTATTTGATGCTCAGTTTGTCGTGTCATTTTATAAACACAATCTCAATTCATTCTTCAACAATCAGTATCTCTTCTCTCTCCTCAGTTGAAACCTCAGATAACTCTCAAACCTCTATCCCCTAGTCCTACTTGCTCTAACTCTGAATCTTAACAGGTTATGGGCCCAGATTTCTAAACTTTTTGATTTAATAATTATTTGATTTCTGTCAGAGTTTTTTTTAGCTTTTATCTAGCCTTTAGCAAAGCAGAGATGGACTTGAAACTGGCTGGATTCAGTGGAAAGTCTGAAGATTTTCCAGCTTGGTCGACGAAGTTTGTGGCACTGATGCATACCAAAGGCCTGTTCAGGACTGTGATGGGCAATGACGATCTACCAGAAGCTGAACCTACGCTACCTGAGAATCCGAATGCTGACCAGATGACGGCGTACAACACCAAGATGCAGGAGCGAGCTGTGCTGATCCAGCAGAGGAAAGACAACCGAAACACAGTGTGGTCACATCTAGCTCTGGTCCTGAACAACACCACACTGATGTACATCAAGAACGACTGCGTGGCTGCGGATGGCTATGGCGATGGGACGAAGGCCTGGAGACTGCTGCAAGAGAAGTTTTGCAGTGTGGAGAGGCCTACAGTGGTCAGTCTAGTAGGCCAGCTTGCGAAGCTGCGCCTAGGATCAGAGGAGGATCTCGATGACTACTTCGTTCGAAGTCAAGAGCTGATGACGCGGCTGAGTGAAGCTGGGGAAGCAATTACGGACACACTCTTCAATGCGCTCGTGATCAACGGACTGCCTGACAGCTTTGAGCATTTCGTGGTGCAGGAGAGCTTCCAGCCGGCCAAGACTTTTACAGAGCTGAGAACGAGGTTGAGGAACTATGATGACTCGAGACGAGCTCGATGTGGAGAGAAGACTGGGAATGGACACATAGCTATGCAAGCTGTGAGGAAGAAGAAAGGAGCGTCGGGTGGTGGCTGTTTTGTGTGCGGTCAGAAGGGTCATTTGGCAAGAGATTGCAGATCCAGAAGTGACAGTGGTCAATCTGGTGCTCGAGGCAGTGGCTCGAATGAAGCAAGTGGTCCAACTTCAAGGAAGCAAGGGTGCTTCAAGTGTGGACAACAAGGACACTTTGCAAGGGACTGCAAGCAGGCAAAGACAGGGTTCTTCAGTTGTTGTGCAACAACCTCAATGAAGGGAGATGATCTCATTGTGGATACGGGATGCACCGATCATGTAGTGCGCGACAAGGCTGTCTTCTCAAGCTTTGAGAAATGGGATGAGGGGACAACAGTTGAGAATCCGAACGGTACAATATCAAAGATTGAGGGCATAGGCTCGGTGGAAGTGGACATACGAGACTGTCAAGATGTGACGAGGAGCTACACTTTCCACAATGTGCTGTTTGTGCCGAGCTACAACGTGAATCTGATGAGTGTGAGCTCAGCAATAGCTAGAGGGTCTAGTTTCAGCTTTACATCAGACTCTTCTCATCTTGTGGCACCGGATGATCGACGGCTACCAGTGAAGCAGCGCGGCAAGCTTTTCTTCCTGGAGTGCAAGTTCAAGAGGAACGCGATGACTCTAGCTACGAAAGCGAAGATGGAGACAAGTAGTGCAATGCTGTGGCACCGAAGGCTGGGGCATCTCAACAAGCATGATCTAATATCAGTTGTTGATGTCGGCGAGCTAGGGTTCTGCGAAGTGTGCACAGCTTCGAAGATGCACGAAGTAGCAATGCCAAAGAAGACAGAGAACAGGGCAACTGCAGTGGGGCAGCGGGTCTTCAGCGACATCCAGGGACCATTTGAAGTTGCGAGCATGCATGTAGCGCGCTATGCCGTGAGCTTCATTGATGACTTCAGCCGTCTGGCAGTGGTCAAGTACCTGGTTAAGAAGAGCGATACTCTTTCGAAGTTCAAAGACTTTGTAGCTGAGCACGGAACACCGAAGTGCTTGAGAACTGACAACGGAGGTGAGTATTCGTCGAATGCTTTTCGGATGTTCTGTAGAGAAATGCAGGTGAAACAGGAGTTTACAGTACCTAATACTCCGCAACAGAATAGCGTGGCAGAGAGGTACAACAGGGTGATAACTGAGATGACTCGATGTCTACTGGCCGATGCAAAGCTCTCAAAGATGTTCTGGGTACGAGCAATGTCAACGGCAGTCAGGGTTCGCAACTTGTGTCCTACATCCAGCAATGAGCATCGCATTTCATCAATGGAGATGCATTATGGGAAGCCATCGAAAGTCAACTACCTGCGAGTGTTCGGATGCCTGGCGTACTACCTGGACAGAGGAAACCGGCGGAAACTGGATCCGAAAGGCAAGAAGAGCAAGTTCATTGGTTATGACGAGGAGAGCAAAGCCTACTTGCTGATGGACCTGGAGACAAAGCGAGTGGTACGAGCAAGAAGCGTGACGTTCAATGAAGACATCATTCCAGACGACTTTCTGGTAGACAGTGAGCAGTCACAAACACTGGGTCTATCAATCGAGGGATGCATTGATGTAGAGGAAACTAGCACGAAGGCCATCACTGAGTCTACCAATAAAGCGAATGATAGTGGAGCAGCAGCTTCAGTGGGGGTTACGGAAGATGACCCAGTCGAGACTGAAGAATTGGAACCACCTTCCACAGAGCCTCCAGAGCAGAGGCCAACAGAGATTCCAGAGCAGCGGTCAACTAGAACGCGGAACCCTCCCATCCGATACGGACTGGCTTACACTCATGCTTCAGTGATAGCACAAGAGCCAAGAAGCTACTTGGAAGCAGTATCTGGACCAGAAAGGGAGCAGTGGCTAGCAGCTATGGCTTTGGAGGTGCAGTCACTGAAGGCAATGGGCACCTGGACACTTGTTGATAGACCAAATTCTCGCAAGGTCATTCCTGGACGCTGGGTGCTTGCTGTGAAGAGAGATGCAATGGGACAAGTGGAGCGGTTTAAAGCCAGATACGTGGTGAAGGGTTTTATGCAAGTGGAAGGACTGGACTTCAATGAGACCTTTGCGCCAACCTGTAAACCAGAAACAAAGAGAATACTACTGGCTTTGGGAGCGCAAGATGATCTTGTACTTCATCAGATGGACGTGAAGTCAGCCTTCCTCAACTCGCCGTTAACAGAAACTGTGTATATGGAACAGCCCGAGGGGTTCAGCAGCGGGGACAACCAAGTGTGTTTGCTACAACGCAGTATCTATGGGCTGAAGCAGGCAGGAAGGGACTGGTACCAGACGCTGAGCACGTTTCTTCTGGAGACTGGTTTCACTCGAAGCACCAATGACTTCTGTTTGTTCACGATGAGGGGAATGGATGATGCTATGATCTATGTTCTAGTATGGGTGGATGATATCATCATTGGCTGCAAACTGCAAGCAGAAGTTGACAGGGTGAGGGACCGATTCACTGACCGATTCAAGATGGATGATCGCGGTCCATTAGCCTGGTTTTTGAAAATGCAGGTCAAACGGGCACCTGGTTCTGTCACTGTGAATCAGTCTCGCTACATTGAAGACTGCTTGGAGCGCTTTGGGTTGGCTGACTGCAAACCAGTAGGGACACCAGCTGATATCAGCACTCAGTTGACGAAGAAGGACTGCCCTGGAGCGGGCTCAGAAGAAGCAGTGGCAATGCAGCGTGAGGACTACAGAGGCATAGTGGGCTCGTTATTGTACATAGCCAAGCAAACGAGGCCAGACATCCTAGCTACTGTGACTCAACTTTCACGGTTTCTGGAGAATCCTGGGAGAACACACTGGGTGGCTGCTAAGAGAGTACTGCGATACCTGAAAGGAACCAAAGATCTGGAGCTGTGCTACATCAAAGATCCTGATGGGTTCAACCTTTATGGTTCAGCAGATGCTGACTGGGCTGGTGACGTTGATGACAGAAGGTCAACAACAGGCTACAGTTTTCATGTGCAGCGGTCAGGAGCAGCAATCAGCTGGAGTACCAAGAAGCAACCTACTGCAGCAATATCTACCAGCGAAGCTGAGTATCAAGCAATGGCAGCGGCTGTTCAGGAAGGCCTCTACTTACGATCCCTACTCAATGAGATGGATATGACGTGTGATGGTCCAACTGTGATCAACGAGGACAACCAGAGCTGCATCAAGATGTGCAAAAATCCCGTAATGCAGAAGCGTACAAAGCACATTGATGTCAAGTATCACTTTGTCCGAGAGCGGGTCGAGGATGGAACATTTGCGCTCGAGTACTGTCCAACCGAAAACATGGAGGCTGACTTGTTGACGAAATCCCTGAGCAAGGCAAAGGTGGATCAACATCGTCGAACGCTGATGGGTTGCAGCCTGACATTGGACAAAGCCAATTCAGCCTGAGTGGGGGTGTTGAGGACAGACGAGCTCAATGCCAGACTAGTGAAATACCAGACCAAACTCAAGGTCAGACTTGAGCAATAGAAACCTAATTAAAGGTTAACTGGTATAAAACTCAATGCACTCAGACAAGGTCAACTGGTCTGCTGGTATTTGATAAACTAATTAATTAACTGGTAATTAATTAACTGGTACTATTTGATGCTCAGTTTGTCGTGTCATTTTATAAACACAATCTCAATTCATTCTTCAACAATCAGTATCTCTTCTCTCTCCTCAGTTGAAACCTCAGATAACTCTCAAACCTCTATCCCCTAGTCCTACTTGCTCTAACTCTGAATCTTAACACACCTTTGTGTCCCTTGCATATGCACTTAAGTGCCTCTGCGTCTGGCTTGGCCACGTGCCACACTTTGGCCAGGAAGTCCTCTCCCCCCGTGGCCACCAGGGTGCTGTCTCTGCTCACACCCAGACACGCTACTCCCCCTTCGTGTGCATCTGTGAAGCACTGGATCAGGTATGGACTCACATCCACCTAGAATAAAACACAAAAGTAAAAACTACTGAAATTGAGAGTAAGTTGAGAGACAAGTCCGTTCTACAAGCCCGTTCTTTTAACAAGCCATTTTTGGCGGCATTTTGTATATCAATCGAAAAGATTGTTGTTCTTAGTGCAAATTTAAAAAGATATTCCATCTGCCATCATTTTTCGTAAAGTTATGGGGGCTATCAACGTGTAAGCGGCGATTTAATGCGCCTTAGAAATAATTCCAAAATGATTGAAGCAGGTTATTTGTCATAATTGCTACGTGATGTGACTAGGAGCTAAATCAATCAATTTGTCTTTTATATATGCGTATGGGATATGATAAAAAGTCTGAAACATTTTTGAAAAATTCATAAATTTTTGAAGAATTCATCAGTTTTTTAGGCGATCACTGCTCCATAGACCTTAAAATGCAGTCTGAACATCCAGGGCTTTACCCTAACACCAGATATCTTGTTCGGAATTTATCAAATCCCAATTATCCCTGCCCGTATCTTAACCCGGATTTTAAAGGTCGGACCTTAACCCTCTCGATTTTTGGCTGTAGGGTTACTTGGGGAAAATTCTACATCGTGCTAGCCCAAAAAGTGTTCAGGAACTCATTTAAACTTTGGAAGATGCTAGCAGTACGATAAAGGCCCAGAAACAGAAAGATGAGAGTTAATTGAAAATCTTGAAGAGAAGATTACAAGTCTGTGTGGGGCAAAATGGCGGACATTTCCAATGATTTTTATAAACAATTTCTGCATGTTTTAAAATTTCTGTCAGTTTTCTTTCATCGGCAGAAAAAAAATGTCTTTTTATCTTTCCTCAAAAAAGGTTATAGCGTTTTCAAAAATAACAGTTTATTTGAAACACCCTGTATTTTTAGAATTATTTTGCCTCTTTTTCCGCTTCCGATTAAACCAAGTTAAGACCTTCCATCCCGGCGTTTATTTTGCTGAGCGCTGCGTCTAAAGTGCTACATTATAGCTGGATTGAAGTTTCTATATTAGATCCAAATTAACATTCTCCTCACCTAAGCAACTTGAGGGGAGGGGAGGGGTTGGTTCACTTGGTCTAGTAAAAGAAATGGGGCGAATGCGACAAAGTCAATCTTAGGGGGGTGATGGGGGTAGTATGATGCGCGAGCCTTATAAATAAGCATTTAGGAGGTGATGGGGGGGGGGGTAGGGGCGGGGTTTGGGTATAGGACGATTTGCATCCTCCACTGCCGCTCCCAGAAGTTTTTCTAGAGGGTCATTTGACGCCACTATACGCTGAACTTGATGAGGGTGCATGTACCAAAAAAACGCGTTTTTCGTTCAAAACTTTCCCTAAAGTGTCCTGAAAGTTAATTTTTAGTCTTTGTTCTGTAAAAAAAAAAATCGCGTGCCACGCAAATTTTTGACGAAATGAGGTTTTTATAGCGTTTTGAGAACGCAGATCTTGGTAAATTATCTATCTGTGGTCCGCCCAAAAAAAGACAACATTTTCAAACTTGAAAATCGAACAGCATTTGAAAATTCCCATTTGAAAAAATCTTAGATCCACTCCCGAGTAAATTGATTATTTGATTTTTACCTTTCTGCTGCTACCAGACCCCATTTGAGGATATGGTCAGCTTCTTCTTCTATAATGGTAGTATATCTTCTGGTTATGGTTTTGTATAGTTTGTAGAGGTCAGGTAAAAATTCTGTGGCCGTTTAAATTTAAGTTGTGACGTGTAAACCGAGGAACAACAAGAAATGAAATGCAAGCAAAAAAGAGTATTGGCTAAATTGGTAGTTTGCGCTCAAATGAATAAAAGTTGGTGCAATTAAAAATTTATCCGATATTTCCATTTCTTACCACGAGAAATAACCTGTAGATACTATAAGATGTAAGGGCAAGATGAGATTGAAAATGATGGCCAAGCAATAAAAAATTCATTTTTCCATCTATGATTAATTAATAGACCGATTTTTGGTTGCCAGTGAAAAATGCACGCTGAGATCATGAGAAATTAGGCGCAGGTGTTGTTTCAAGTGAAAACTAAAACTCATTGTGGTGCAAATAGGGATAGCGGAAAGGGACACGCCGGATTCACCTGAAGCAAGCCACATATACGCGCCTTTAAGGCTGAAAAAAAAACAATAATGTTTAATCTGAATTTGTGGCTGAAAAATCATTGTGCTTAGAACATATGTTATGGCTGAAATCCAGTTTGATTAGCATATATAGTAGAAAAAAGATTTAATAATTGATGTTTCTGCGATTCGCAAAGGATCTATGAAAGGCTATCAAGCCTGTCCAAGCATGGCCCGTTTGTGTTAAAAATTGTTTGAGTTAAATTATTTCAAAAAAACTTGTTACTTTTTGCCTGATAAACTCTGATTGGTTTAAAAATACTAGCCATAATTCACAAATAAATAAAACGAACAGCGGATGATATTGCGTTTCCAAAACTTTGCAGTCATTTGGCGACTTTTTGGTCGCGCAAAGTCGCGACAGTCGCGCAAGGACTGTCGCGGAAAGTTGCCACTTGATTCGCTCAAAATCGCAACTTGAATCGCGCAAAATCGCGTCTTGAGTCGCGCCAATAAAGCAATGTGGTCACGCGACAGAGATTGCAGGACCAAAATTTCGCACAGATGTTTTTGAATCGCACAGGTTTTTCAAAATGTCTCACACATGTTTTGAGTCGTGCAAATTGCGACTTGAGTCGCGGCGGTCGATCAAGCTGCGGAAAGTTGGAGAAGGTGACGCATTTAAAATTACTGAGTCAGAGCGTTTTTAAATGTGCCTTTAAAAACTAAATTCGGTCAATCAAAAATTGGTGTATTTTTCTGCGAAGCTTTTTCTTAGATACCATGCTCTGGAGAGCGGGCGTAGATAAAGCGGATGTGAAGAAATTCTGCTGTTTTCTAACGAAAAAATTTGGATAAAAATTTCTATAAAAATCGAACTTCGAGTGGAAAAACGTGAAATGTCCGTATTTCAGTTGCCTAAAAATGTGAAGCGTTAAAAGATAAGATTTCAGAGACTTTGGGCACAACTCACAGTCCTTTGAGGGTGGAACTTCATACGAAACTTAGATGTGGTTATCGCCAACCGAAACTCTTAAGCTATAAACTTTTCATCATGCGAGTTGTGTTTTCTAACAACTGAGTTTTGATTGAACGGATGCAAGTGATGCAAACAAATAATACCTTGTGAAATGAATATGCAACTTTGGCTGATCAAAGTTATCTTGTGTGATAACAAAAGCGTTACTGTCCGTATCTAGTAAATGTTCTAATTCAGATCTGAAATTTGATTTTTCAGATCCAAATTTTAAATCTAAAATGGGTAGTGAAATTTTAAAATAACGCTTGGGTACTTTAGGAATGGGTTATTTTAGATCTAATTTCAAATCTAAAATTTTGTTTTTCCTATTTATTTCAGATCTGAAAAAAAATCTATTTCAGATCTAACTTCAAATCTAAAATTTAGCTTTTCTTGGTTATTTCAGATCTGAAAAGTCAATGATTTTGACACATTTTTTTGCTATTTTTGATACTTTAGTATTTGATAGCTTCTGCTGTACTCAGCAACATCTCAAATGGGAGACTGCTGAAAAATGTTTCCTCAAATGTGAGAGAAACATTGGAAACTCATAAGTAGCGAGTGAAAATCAAAAATTTGATAAGTATTCAAACAGTTTTTCAACACATTTGAACGAGAAATTTAGTTTAAAAAAGACTGCTCGTGAAAAAGTTTTTTTCGTTTTTTTACCGCTAATTAAACTAAACATAATTGCGTATTGCAGAAACAACAAAAACTCAGTTGTTTGCTCGAAATGCATAAATTATAATTCAGCAAAGAGTTTCTCAGATCTAATTTCAGATCTGAAATTTTGTTTTAAAGGTTATTTCAGATCTGAAGATTTCTAGTTCACATCCAAATTTCATATCTGAAAATTTCAAGTTCTTATCAAGATCTGAAATAAGGAATTTCAGATCTGAGAATCAACTTATGTGAGAAATAAAGAATTCCAGATATTGCACAGAAAATCTCTTGGGTACGGGTGGCGTAAAATTGAGATCTAAGTGGACAACCAAAATGTATTTTGGCTGACAAAAACGGTCTTTGCGGGTATGAATTATGCTTTTTTTTTTCTTATTTTGACATAAGCAAGCGAAAAAAAAACAATGAGCAATAAAAGACAAGTCTGCCCTAGTATTTAAGACGCCGCACTTTTCATTTGCAATTATTATTATTTTTATACTCATATGGCTTCAAAGTTGCTCAGTTACCTACATCATCCTTTACATATGAGAATATTAAAATTTTTTTTTCTATTTTAACGAAATTTTTTTAAATCATAAGTAAAAACAGTAATGAGGCATCTAAGCCGATAAAATGGAACAGACAAAAGCTTGACAGTCAAAACTTTTTAATTGGCACAAAAATAGCTTTTGACCGCATTCAACGCCCAGTCGTTAATCATGAATTTTTGATAATGCTTCGGTAATCTGATATGAGTTTTTCTCATATTATAAAATCAAATGATAAAAGCAACACAAAAATAGGGTAAAAAATAGTTTCAAATTAGAAAAATTAGACCAAAACTCTAACACACAACAAAAAACGGTAACTTATTTTTTTTTCAATACCAGCGAGCAAGAAGATAGTTGGAAAATAACTTTTGGTGATTTATGGCTTTGACATGAATAACATAACAGTTAAAAAGTTTTAGAAAAATTTTCAATTTAAAATGTCGAAAGATCTCATTTCTCAATTTAAATTTGGGTAAAAAAATAAAAGGCGGTTTGCTTTGACGAGGCTTTTTTATACGTGTTGGGTTTTCTGGTTCAAAATCAGATCTGACGATTTATACACATTACAAATTGTGCCTGATTACGTGTCCTCATTGCAAAACATACTCTACTAGGAACTTTCTCCAACACTGTTTGAAAAAAGTGAAAAAGGCTCGAATTTTGCTTTTATTGTTAATAAAGAACAACGTTGTTAACAAATTAAAAATTTTCTAAAAGATTACAAAAATTAAAGAAATAAAATAAAATTTCACGTAATTGTTCGTACGTTTCAGCTCCGTCTGCAAAATGAAATATAAAAAGTCCTAATGAAATCATTTTTTCGGGGAAAAGTTACGTAGTTGACGGAGAGCTTAGCCTTTTTTTGAAAATTTCAGTTTTTTAGAACAAACCAGGTTCAATCTATTCGTTTACACTTCAAAATCATGAAAAATTATTTGATTAACTACCGAATCATATGCGAAGAGAAAAACGAATTAAATGGTTTTGCAGATACTTTCAGTCGAAAAGTTCCATTTGATTACTCTTGTGAATAAAAAATAAGAACATTTGGATTTTAAAGTTTTAATTGTAGAGAAGGTTTTTGAAACCTTTTTTGTTCGCAAAAAAATAGAAAAAAATTTTCTTAGATTTCCATTATTTGCACTATTACATTAAAAAATTCAGTTAAATCAAAAATTAGGAAAATTTTTCACTTTTTAAACAAGAACATTTTTCGTAATTTTTACACTTATGCTGTTTGGCAGAGGAATTTGCCTTCTTTTAAACAAAGTAAAAAAGCTGAAAGTACTAACAAAAAACTATATATTGAGCCCAATGAAACTATAAGACTTTTCCCGAAAAGAAAATCAAAAAAATCATTGCGCCCTCTACAGGAACCCGAACATTGTTCCATTGTTCATCGTCTCTTAAAAATGCAGATATTTCTGAAAACATTTCGAGTTTCCAAGTAGGAAATACATGGCTTTAAAATCACTCAAATTTCAATTCGAAAAAATGATTGACACTTTTCTGATAGTATTAATTTCATTTGAGATAACTGGATCAGTAAAGTTTTTATTTCGCTGGGAAATCTAATAATTTAGTTCAAGCTAGAAAGTAAATTTTTTTCTCACCATTTTCACGTTCGTATTTGGTGAGCGCAATTTACCTAACTTGTAGCATATGACTTTGAATTGAACCGAAAAAGCATATAAAGCTAAAAGCAGTCACAATTGTATTACACAGATGCGAAGCTTCGCTTCGCAAACACTAGCCAGAACACGACAAAACGCAGCTTCATAAAAAGCAATAAAAAAATCCTCGCATCAGCAAAATTTGGCAGCGATTGAGTTTCGAGCCTGCGACCTTGATATTGATAGTCACACACACTACCCACTCAGTCCCGGAAGCTTAATGGTAAATAGAAGATTAAAAACTAGCCACAAATAAAGCCGAGAACAGATGCTATGCAATTTCTAATACTACAGTAAACTTTTCGCTATAATTTCCAATACTTCAGTTCTTTGCGAGATAGATTAGAAAAAAGGTTCGTAATAGGACATTAAGCCGACGCTAATGTAAATATGCATGAATGCATATCTGTAGTTATATAAGAATAAATAAAACTTTTTTCCAGGAAAATTCACAATTAGCATGATCTAAATAACAGGTTTCTTAAAGTTTAAACCATTTTAAGACATCAATGCAAGTAATGCAACCTAAAAATCTGATCCTACAACTTTCTGGTTCAACTACCTCCACGACTGGATCCGAAAAAAAATTTAAATATTACGCTGTGACAGCTTAAATTTCAAACCGAGTTCTGAAGCTGCAATCTACTTTGTTTTCTCCTTTATTTTGTTATTCAAGAGAGAGCGTAATGTGCCCCCCCCCCCATTTCGTACTGGAAATTAAACTGAACATAAATAGACAAGGAATCGAGGTGTGAACCGAAGCCCTCTTTAAGAGTCGCTATACGCCCTCGCTTTACTTTAAGAGTCAATGTCCTCGCTTTACGAGTCAACGCACAACGCCCTCGCTTAAGAGTCAACGCCCTTGATAAAAAAGTCTTGGCAATAGAATAGATTGACTAGACGAAACTAGATAAAATTGAATAAAAGAAAACTACAAGTACAAAAAGCAGCTCCAGAAAGTGCAATATGAAAAACAGAAAAAAGCCTCGAATTAGCGAAAATTCGACAAAGTCTAGGATTTGATAACCTGAGGAAGATCTTTTAAAGTCGGAAAAATTCATCAGTTTGAATAAATTAGATCTTCATTTTGTTATTTTATTTCGCCGGGAATGTTGAAAATTAAAGTGCAATTTGGCAATTTGAAATCTATTAAAACTTTTGCGCGCCATTTACTGTTTTGTTTTCGATAGTTTTTCGTTCTTTCAAGTGATAACTAATTTGAAACTTGACTTTAAAATTACTGAATTGGTTTTGTGAAAATCTCAACTTTCGATATTCACAAAAAATTTGATGCCCTCAAAGCTCTGTTTGAATTTATTGAACAGTTGATGGTTGGCACGTAGTTTAGGGCTAGGGTTAGGGTTAAATGAAAGTGACCCAATTTGAGAAAACTGGATCAAACTCCAATTCAGCAAAAGTGGAAACAAATACATATAGACGTATTTTGCATGTATTAGTATGGAATATAAATAACAGGCATCCACACTAACTTTGCATGTAACAAATCGCAAAGCATAAAACCACATTATGCATAAATTATGCATTTTAAAAATTGTGAGATATATTGAATTAGAAAAGTTCTGAAATCGAATTTTGATTATTGTTGTTGTTTGAAACAAATTTTTCGGTTCATTTGATCAATTAAAAATGCATCAAGTGTGTTAACTTATTACTAATCGAATGTCAAAGCACATGCTGTCAAAAGGCTGTACAGTTGCCCCGAAAGTGACAAAAATATTTGCGACTTAGGTTAGAGAAAAAATGGTTATTTATAATACACTAAGGTCACCCTTGTGTAAAAATCCTTTGACAATCCGCTTTTAATTTGAAAAAATGACAACTATTCAATTTAATAATATATAATCTAAACTTAACGAGCTTTGAATTTCATGAACGATTTTTTAAAATTAATTCAACTCAACTTGAGGAAACTTAATCAATAGCTACAGTTTTAATTCCGCTGGGTAATCTGAAAATTAAAATCAACTTCGAAATTAGAAGTGGATCAAGTTTTCGTGAGCGTGACCTTTACACTTCAGCAGTTGAGTTTACCTTCCTTAGAACAAAGGAAATGAATTCAATTCAGAAAATGTCAAATCAAACCGCGTAAAACAAATTTAAGCGTCATTAAACTACAAGACCTTCCTGAAAAAAATCACCTCGACCTATCAAAGTCTTCGCTACATCATTGCCTATATCAGAAACACCTTTTATAAACTAGTCTGCTGTTTAGCTTTCAATTACATGAAATGCGGATTTTGCTGATAATGTGCCAGGGCATGATTTCAAAGACACAGTTTTTGCGATTGTTAAATTCAATCCATTCGATGAAGCTTTTTCAAAAGAAAATAAGTTAGCAACATTGCCAAATCACAAAATAGTCCAGCTATTCAAAAAAATCAAAAATGACCAGTTTGGGTCGATAGACTACATTTCAAAATATGATACTGCAAATTGGGCCAAGGTTGGGTCAGTTCAGTATGACATGTATTCTAGATGAATCGGGACAGTTAGTACAAAGAGACGATGGCAGAAATAATATTTGAGTTTTAAGTTTTGTCCACTGGGTTTTTCTTTGCAGTTGGATATTTCGGCAAGACCATTTTCTACATGGGCACGTTATTGAACAAGTAGGAAACTGACTCTCCATTATGGGTTCGTCTGATTGCCTCTGCCAAAATAGTTGAGATGTCGATAACCTACAAACATAAATTCACGTTACAAGTTAAAGATAGAAGTTGACAGAAAAAAGTTTTGGTAATTTTTAGATAAACTTGCATCAGTATTAGTTTCTGTAAAGACATATACCATTCTGTCCCTGAATTAAAATTCTATTAGATCAACCAAACCTCATTGTGAATTAAGCCTTTTTGCGTATTTCATTACGAGAGCACAATATCCGACTGAATAAAATCTGAAGGCGTAATCTGAGACAATCTCCTAAGCTGCAATAAGTCAGTAATTATACCACGTCCACAGTTAACCAATATTAAAAGTATTTATTGGCGATAGAATCACCCTACGGAATCGTTCAGCCTCTTTCACGAACTGGCAGCTATCCGTTTAGTTTTACCTGGGACACGCAAAAAAGATACTTCCTGTGATTTCCGGTTTTTATAAAAACTAAAAAGCTATGGATTATTGCCAAGTCTGAATAAATGATACTGGTGGTACTTAAAACGCACGTATGAATGACTTAAACATAGCCAACTGACAGTTGGAAAAGAGTAATGAACGCAAGGAAACTGAAAAAAACTGACTTCTGAAATTCGAAGAAAAAATAGATGGCTTTAAAGCCCGTTGAATTTGTAGAACAATTTATGATGAACATTTTTTTGTTAAAATTAGCCAAAATTAAAAAAACTGGATCAGAAGGTAAAACTTTTATTTAGCTGGGAAAACTGATATATAATTTCCATTTTCGAAATTAGAAGTCGATCACGTTTTTCGTAATCTTTACACTTTTGCTATTCGATAGTAGAGTTTACCTCTGTTTAAAGAAATGAACTGAATATAAAATAAATTAAAAGTCAAGCTGCTAAAAATCAAAACAGCGTGAACAAATTCCTGAAAAAAAATCACCAAGACCTATTATAAGATTACTCACTACGTTCATTACTCTTACAAATAATCCAGGAACATTAATTGTGACTACTACTCTGAAAGAGAAAAAAACGCAGCAACCGACCTTAATTTTACTACAAGTACTCCTATGCTCGTCTTGGGGGATGGTGTTGGTGACTACTACCGCCTCCATGCACGACTGTCCTATCTTCTCAAGTGCATTGCCAGAGAAGATGCCGTGCGTCAACATGGCGTAGATCTTGGTGGCACCTGCCTCTTTTAACCTAAACAATCAAAGCATGTGAGATTCAATCCAAATCAAACTGATCAATCTATCTGAGCAAAAACACAGATTTTTCGAAACAAAAGAAACTATTTTTTGAAATTTTTGGTTATACGTTTTTGCTCTATTTTTGACGTAATTTTACTGTCGATTTTTCATGGGCGTGCAGTTTGCAATTTAGCTAGCATCAGCGATTATTAAAAGTCAAATCAACGTTAAACAATTAAAAGCAAAAAGCTTTCACAGGAGTTTTCAAGCTGACGGCTTCATTTAACTCTCGTTGGCTCATCAAACAACAAAAAATACAGACATTCTAAAATTTAATGCGAGCAATCGCGGCTCTTGTTTAATGCTCAAGTTTTGCATTCACTGGTTTATATTTAGAAAAAAAAGCTTTTCAATTTGGATGTTCAAAATTTCGAATCGTTTTTTGGTGCACATTAAATGAGCGCGCATTCATGTGCACACCTTTCAGTGCACATTGACCGAGCGCGCATTCATGTGCACACCTTTCAGTCTAACGTCAAAACATGTACGCTCTCAAAAAATAATCGAATTGCAATTATTATCTAACTAGTTAGCACTAAAAAGCCCCTTTTTGGCCAAAATTTTCGCGGCGCGCAGGCAAAATTTTGAAAAAAAACCAGGCCTAAAAAGGCGTTTTTAGGAACTTTTTGGAAAATGTTGACCAAAAAATCGCGTTTTTCGACGCGCGCTCCCCCCTCAAAATTAAAATATATTGGCGCCTTTAGAAAATTTTTAGGGTCCGTCACCAAAAATGGTACAATGGTCTCAAAATAGTACAATGTGGGGACCCTTTAGGTCGGCAAGTAATCGAATCCCTGAGGGGAGGGCGTCCGCCCCCCCCCCAAATCCGCCCCTGACCATATGCTCATATTCAAAATGTATAACAAAAAATCTGTATTTACCAGCGACTTTTAAATGCAATAAGCTATTTGCTTTTGGCTTTGAACACTTTTATGTAATTTGGAACCCCTGGATTTCCTGTTGGAACTTGTAAAAAACTTATTTTTCAGAAGATGAGCTAACATAGAAACTAGTCAAAATGCTAAGTTGAAACATTTGGGGCAATACGATGCAGCTTTCAGCGCATTTTCTTAAATTTTTGGGTTCAAATTCAAAACTCACTCATGAAGTGTAATTTGGATTCATTTCTACTAGGATATTTTTTCCCACAATTTAACACTGACTTTGTGGCAGCTTGACACATGGTTCCACAGGTATCTGCCATGTCATCAACAAGAATCGCAGTCCTCCCAGAAACATCTCCAACCAGTACCATAGAGGCCACCTCATTTGCTCGCTTCCGCTCCTTGTGAATGAGGGCAAAGTTGATATTCAGCTTGTCCGCGATTGCAGTCACCCGCTTGGCTCCTCCGGCATCAGGGGAAACAACCACCGCTTCTTCGTGATTATCAACGTGGTCTTGGATCCATCGAATCACCGCTGGCTCCGCGTACAGGTTGTCCACAGGGATGTCGAAGAACCCCTAAATATACATACACACAATGATTTCAAATATAACATCAAATTTTTAAAAATAGCCTACAAACCGTTGAACAAGAGTCAATGAATGCAAACAAACAGTAAATAACTATTTAGAAACAAATAATACAATACTTTTTGAACACATATTGAATACTTTTGAATACATATACGTTAAGCTCTTTCTTTGAGAAAACTAGATTAATGGGTAAATTTGCTATTCCGCTGGGATATCTGAAAACTTTCGAAACAAGAAGTCGATCACAATTTTCGTGACTTCACACTTTTGCTGTTCGATAAAGGAGCCTTCTTTTCAACAAGAGAAACGAACTGAACTTAACAAGAACTGAACGAACTGAAATGCAGTAATTGGGCAGAAGAAAGAAGAACCACTTTGGGCTCAGTCCCCAGTATCACAGTACTCCAAACAAATCCCGAACAAACTTTAGAGTTTATTGTTCGAACAGGACGTCTTCGTCCCTCAAATCAGTTATGAACGAGCTCCAAAAACAAACAAACTTAACAAGAAACCAAAAGTCGAACCGCGAAAAAGTAATTTTGAGCTTGAACAAATTTTCCTGAAAACAAAACGAAAAAAGAAACCATCGCGACCTATATAAGAGTCTGAACTACGTTCATTGACTCTTAAAAAACTTCAAATTTTGAATTTTAAAGTGAAAAATTTCCGGCCCTAAAGCTCTCTGAATTTCTAGATCTATTTATGATTGAGACTTGGTCGATAAAATAAGCCCAATTTAAGAAAACTGGATCAATTGGTAAATGTTTTATTCCGATGGGAAATCTGAAAACTTAACTCCACTTTCGGTACTAGAAGTCGGTCACGTTTTTCATGACCTGTACACTTTTGCTGTTCAATAGTGGAGTTTGCCTTTCAACAAAGGAACGGAAGTAAATTTTAAAAGAAATCACAAGTCAAACCCCGAAAAATCAATTTATAGCTGGAAATTCAATAGAAATTTAGCACACCATGATGATGTTTGTTCGGCATGAAAAAGAATTGAACTTCAAAACTATTTATACCAAGCTTTATTATTTCAAGGTTGAATTTGGAGGCACCGCCAACGCCCTCACCTTGAAACTCGCCCAAAGCCGGCTTTAAATGGAGTCTAGTTTGATCTATGATAAAAACGCCTGAAGCCTTACAGAATCAACGACCTGAAAGTGTACCAATTGAAATTGAATTTCGGTCTATAGTTCCACACTTCAAAAGCAGTTCAATGATGACATTTATGATACCGCAGAGAATATAATCCAAAGCTGAACTGAATCAAATAACTCTTGTTTTCTATATCTAAGCCAACTATTACTCACAGGAAATAATAATAGCCCAACAAACCCCACTCCAAAGTTGAGATTTTATCAGAAATAAATCAAAGGATAAAACCACTAGGGGTCTGTTGGCCTTGAAAGGATGGAACCAAACAATAATGGTTTTGTAGGGTGGATTGCAAATTCAAAACGTCGAAACCAATGGCAAGAGAGCGGAGCACACCTAAAAAAAGTAGAACGTCGTGTTTCTGCAAACTGTTTTTTTTGTACGAAGCTTTCTTTCACTTTTTTGCCTGTTGTACCAAAAACAGCCGCTTTTTGGTTAAAAAAAAATATTTTGCTCGATACCAATTTGTTGAAACCGAAACACAACTGAAGAAACCGAAGCAACACCAAAACCGGGTTTATTAGTAAAGAGTTATAAGACTTGCTGTTTTTTTTTCAGTCGAACTGGAACAAGCAGTGAATTTTACGATGACTGCTACAGCTGTGATATTAAATAACCCAGGTGACGTGTGATGCTTATACAATACAAGCCACAAAGAACTAAAACTCATTGATATCTATAGTTCCAGTCTTCGAAAGTACTATTTATTCCAATTAGCTTGCGTCAATACAATGCAACCTTGAAACAAAGAATCGCTTTTTTAAATAAGAGTGGGAGGCTCAAGAGATCGAGATCTTTATGATAAAAAACTGCCAAAAGACTGTAGGAACAGTCATAACGCAAGCAAAAATACTGGCTAAAAAAATCAATTTTCGAATTTTCATAATAAGGTCTTAGAGCGCTTTGAATTTCAATCAAATTTATGATTGACAACTTTTTTGATAAAAACAACCCAATTTGAGAAAACTAGATCAAATAGTGAAATTTTTATTCTGTTCATTGCGGTTCGACGAATTTTAATTTTTCTAAATTCTACGAATTGGCGCTTTAGCAAAAAATCCATTAGCCTTAAATGAGACAGTTAATGAATGCAAATTTATCCAATTACCAAACTGCATAGAGCAACATCGTACGTAAATTTTGATCCGAAATCAGCGGTTCCTAAATAATAAATTTTTACATCCGAAATTACGGCTTCGTACTACAGTGCTAATTTAAACACAGAAGCGAAGCTGCGCTTCGCAAACACTAGCGAGAACACGACAACAAGCATCTTTTACCCGTGCAATAAAAAAAAATAAGCCTCGAATCAGTAAAAATTCCGCTATGTACCGGATTCGAACCTGAGACCTACGGCGACCTAGTGAACATAAGTTTCACGAACTAACCACTCAACCCAATTTGAGAAAAACGCATTGTGAACTTCTAATCGTTTTGTCCAGATTATTTAATTCAGCACTGCATAACATAACACAAAGCCAATGCTCATGTTTTACTGATTTAAAGACGGCGGTAATACGATGAAAACCAATAATCAGCTTTTTTGATTTTTCATCTCGTGGTGTCTAACCTGTATTTGAGATGCATGTAGGTCCAGAGTAATAATGTGATCTGCTCCAGCCACAGAGAGCATATTGGCCACCAGTTTGGCAGATATGGGTGCCCTGCTTTTATCCTTCTTGTCCTGTCTGGCATACGGGAAGAGTGGGATCACGGCCGTCACTCTCTGTGCACTGGCTATCTTGCAGGCGTTAATCATGATCAGAAGCTCCATCAGGTTGTCGTTGATCTCCCCACATCCCGACTGGATGATGTACACATCCTCTCCCCTCACACTTTCTCCTATCTCCACACTAACAACAAACACACTCATTAAAAAAGACTATCCGCTAAAAAATTACCAACTTTCTCCAAATATTCGAACCTTTTCGCATTTTTCCAAGTTCCACAGGTTCTAACCTCGAATTTTAAAACCCTGCATTTAGTCCGCAAAACTTATATGTAAAAACTACAAATACGGCTATCGAAAAATTTGGCAGCAAACAACCCATTTCTGAGAACCAAGATGTATTCCCAAGTACCTAGCATCAATTCACAGCACATAACAAGGAACGTAAGCGTGATCCTCAGAAAAACTTCAGTGCTGGAAAGTGGTTACATTATCTTTTAATATTTTGAGTAGCGTTGCGGAATTGAAAATTCAGTGTAAATACTGATTTTGAACAGTTGATAGTTTATAATTTCTGGGAGGGCGTTACCAATATCGAAGAAAATGCTATCTACTTTTTAATCTAGTGTTCGTTGAAAATTGGAAGGTTTCTAGAAGGATTTTCTAGCCTCCCACGGTTTTTCCATACCGAAAATTGATTGAATCTTATTATATCGGAAATGTAATTGGATAACTATCAGTTCATTGGGGAAAACTAATTTCTACGATTTTATCCAAAAACAATCTCGAAAACGCCTCCCAACTTCATTGTACAATAATATAAGCTTTAACTACGCTCAACAGTCGTTTCAGTTCAAATCACATGTATGATAGCACCTCTCTTGTTGCTTCTGGGAAAAGTACGTTTGTTTGCTTATTCTTCTGGTGTAGAACTTGAACCAAATTTTCCCTTTTAAGTTAAACAATCATACAGCTCAAGTTTAGTCAGTTATTTAGTTTGCGGAAAAATTAACATACAAAAGAATCCAATTCCAACCCAAGTTCGAATCAAAAACTGGCACCATGAATAATGGTGTTTATACTAATCCAGAAGTTTTATTGACCGGGCATGTGTTTATAACCAGGGCTAAATATAGACAAGCACACATTGGGAGCGACTCTTATCAATTTATAGCGCTTTTATTTTAAGCATTGAGTTATTTATAACCTGAAATCGTAATAAGTGTAATAGTACACTTCAATAACCGCGTTTCCGCATTAGATATGGAGGAAAACGTGGTTATACTTGAAGGGAAGGAAATGGAGTCTCTTATTGCAGATGGAGCGAATGAAAGAAAATTATAATAGCTAATCAGAGCCGGGTATACGAACAACTGAGAGGTTTGGATACTTTTAAGGATACTGATTGGTTATAAACTTTCTACCATTCGAACTGTTGATCGTGATAATAGAGTCAGCAAACGAAGACTGGGCCGTCATTTGGACACCAGATTGTTAGACATATAACATACGGGGACTGGTATATTTTAATCAGGACATGACAAAACAACATATTTAGACCACTGCGCACAGATACTGAAACTTATTGAATTTCCTTTAATTAACACGTGTATAGGTAGGTACCAAGGATGGGTTCAAAAAGTCACTGCTCAAGACAACAAACAAACATTTTTTTCACGTACAATTTTTTCTATTCTCAGGGCACTTTAGAGGCAAAACATATTCTATTCAATTGCCGATATAGAAACGTTATTCTTCCAGTATTTTCTATTCGCTCAAATTCGCTCAGAGCTTTTTATAGCTCAACCCAAAGTTGTAAATTTTCTCGTCAAATCAAACCTAATTAACAAGGAGCAAGAAAAAATTTCTGAGGCCATAAAAAGTTCTTTGATTTCTTTTGGTGGCGTAAAAAGTAAATGATAACAATATAGACAACAGACAGTAGGAAATGTCAATGAAGGAAACAGGAAAAATACTGACTTATTTTGTTAAAAACACTAACTTTCGAGTTCGAGGCACTATTTTGATAAAATTAACCCCCCAATTTGAGAAGACTGGATCAAAAGGTAAACTTTTTATTCCATTGAAAAAACTGAAAACTAAAATCCGCTTTCGAACCTGGAAGTCGATCACGTTATCTTTTCTTTGTTAAAAGCAATGCAAACTCCCCTATCGAACATCAAAAAATTGAGTTTGCATTGCTTTTAACAAAGAAAATGAACTGAACTTGAAATAAGTCAAACTGCGAAAAATCAAATTGGAGCGTGAACAAATTTAAATAATTCAACTGAAAAAAAATTAATTCGTTCACGTTCTAGCAATTTGATTTTTCGAGCGCTCCCAGAACAACACTTTAAAGACCTTAGTTTGGCAAAAATTACAAACAAATTTACAAATTTTAGGGTCTGTCGGCCAAAAAGAGATGGCATAAAATAAAAACAAAGTCAAATCCCGGAGGATCCCTGATCACGATCTATAAAAGAGTACGAACTACGTTCATCGACTCTTTAAAAAAAATAAGTACAGAGACCTTCAATTTTTGTCCTATTTTTGCACTATTCCACTACATATTTTCCGAAGATCACGCAACTTTTGTGAAAATTGAAAATTTTTTCGACTTTATTTGTTATCCGCGCATTAACGAATTTCGCAAAATTTTTCATCACAAACTCCAATTTATGGTTCTTGACGAAATTTTTTCACTGTTTTCAGTGCATATTAAAGCAAAATATATGAGCAAAAAAAGTTTAAAAAAAAAAACGATATTTACTTTTTTTCCGCTCCCTGCTAATTAACTCATCGGGGAGCAGTGAATTGGTTTACACAGCTGTACTTGAGCCCATAGCACTAAATACTCCCACACATCTTTTTGCTCTTGTTTTTTAAAATATATTAAAACCAAAAAAAAAACAAAAAAAAAATTAAAATTATAACCAAAAAAAAAGAAAATCCCTGATAAGTAGCAATTAACCGCACATCTTTCCAATGATAAAACTTTGCACCTATTTTGCCGCCTATTAAAATGACAGTTTTCGGTTTCTCGCCAAAAATTGGAAACTTTCTCAGCTTCATCAATTAGATCATTTTTAAATAAGCTAATTGCATTAGCGCTTAACTCACTTCAGTTCTCCGTTGGCGAATTTGGCCGACTTAGCATAACCGAGAGAGGTGGAAAGAAGGTTGGCAACTTTCTCGGCCAGAACCTGGGACACGTTACCAGAGAATATTTTGATTGTCATTTTGATGATGCGGTTGGATGATTGAATTTACACCATGGGTATAAGCAGTAATAGTAAGGCAACGGGCCAAGCAATAACTTGTGTAAAGAGTAAAGATATGTATAAAATAAAAAGCGAGGGTCAAAGCAGTAAGTCTCCTTTCAAAAGTTTAAACGGATTCATATCATCAGATGATATCTGAGGCTGATGAAATTTGGCAAAATTAAATTTCAATGTTTCAAGCATAAGTCTTGAGTTTTTTCTTAATTTCCAGATTTTGTACTTACTTTTTACAGAGCATCTCTTGCTCAAAGACAAATGTTTCCCTGATTTTTACGGAGTAAAAAAGGATAAATAAAAAGCCTCAGCTTTCATTAACCGGAACGCGAGAAAAATTACTCAGGAGCTAAGAACGAATATTCCAATACTTTTGGGCTTTTCTGCTGCAAGCAACAACAATTGACCTTTTCGAGAAGCGAATATTCAAATTTTGCCAAATTTGATACCCATTTTGAATAAACAAATTACCGGTGATGCTAAACCAGCTTCATTGAAACGATCCATTGCAAAAAAAATGTGGATGAGATAGAGATGAAAACACGATGTTATTTGTAGGTTCTCAAGACTAACTGTCTAAAGGCCACAGAATGGGCGTGAATATGATTTGCTAGAAAGCGAATACTATTGAACACACAAAGACAGTAAATGGTAAATAGGAAAAGGAGCTGGTCTCAAGTAGTTTGCATCAATTCCGTAATCCAATTCTAAGGCGGTTCAGATTTACAATTGAGAGAAATAGCAAAAAAACAAGACTGGAGCAAAATTAAGTGCAGTAATGTATCTTGTTACCAGTGTACAATCGGGATGGAGTACTGGCAATATAGTCTGAGCGACGTAAAAACAGATTTACTAAACGAGCAACAAAACGCAGCAATACGGTTTGCAGCAACTGATCGCAGCATAATTCATACTAATTTACTTTCAATTGTCGAACGCGACCAGAGTAAAAGGTGTTCGGTCGGATACACTGACCAAACAATGGCTTCGCACGAGAAGTAAGAAAGCTTTTTTGTATGGTTCGAAAAAGCACTGAAGCTTCATTGGCACATTACACCACTCTCCACAAAAGAAAAGAGACAGAAACATGCAGTAGTAGTAATGGTAATGGTAGATAGATCGGCTTCGTGCAGATTCTTCACACACAATAAGTAACTGCGAATACTAAACAAATCAATATTCTTTAATCAATTTTCACAAATCACCGCACTAATGTACCACGAGCTTTCAAGTAGGTAAATAACCAGAAGCACTATCTATCTACCAACAGTAACCCTCAATATCAAAATGAAACTACCCAAATAATTAAACCTGAATAAATAAATATTTATATTGGTTCAAAAACTTATTCAGAGAAAAAACAGTAGGTAGAGATGGTAATGTTCAACTCAAAATGACTGTTTATGAACCTATATTGCCTTAAGGAACACGTTCAAGTTATACGCATTCGCTATTCAATTTAAGAAGAGTAGAAAATTTGTAAGGGAAGCACAAACGAAACTTCCTCAAAATAGTCAGTCCGCAATAATAAATTTGGTACAGTTCTGTTTTGTCTATCTCTCCTCTGATTCGATAACTTATTCAGATATTTAAAGCTGAACAAGTTGATTTAAGCATATAAATTTAGCACGATGTTGAAATAATGGTTCGTTCAGAACCTCGCTATTTTGAGCTGCTGATGCTTATAAATACCATTATAGTCAAATTTCGTTGATAAAAATGCATTCTTATATATCTAAGGCACGGGGTATAACTTCAATTGGACAACAATATAAATTTTTCTACCATACTATCTAAATTAAATTTCTTAAGCAAAAATGTAAATTAATGGAAATGCTCTCAAGTCGTCGCGTTCAACACGCGGCCTCCCCACCTTCTTTTGAGAAACGGAGTTTTGTCTTTGAGGAAATATATTTACTTCGCGCCGTTAAAATTTATTATTTTCTACACAATCATTTAATTGTTTTCGTTCCAGACCAATGCAATTAGTAATAGTCCGACCGAATAATTGCTACACAGAGGCGAAGCGGAGCTTTTGAGTTAGGACCGAAGTGTAACTCATAGAGTAATTTCGGATAGGGTACACCGTCTGCTCGTCACGCTATCTTATTTTCGGCCGGATAGATTCGTGCAACTTCTTAGTCTAATACCGATCCTAATCTTACTCTTATACTATCTAGTCTCAGGTTGTTTAACTAGTCTCTGCTAGGCTCAATAGATCTAGGGTATACTGGTTTATTGCGGCTGCTGAAGTGCTCGGGAGAGTCCAACTAATTTCTAAGTTAAATTCAAATCTCTCTGGTGCTGAAATTACAAGTAACTTCAGCACTTACAAATAAGTGGGTTGTTAGTTAGATGGATCATGATTGGTTAATATTAAATACTTTACATTGGTAAAACATTTAATTTATCCAATCATAAAATATAGTTTAGATCAGGTTCCACCCATCCGGGTTTTACAGTGTTTTTTAGAACAGTTCTTCTGTAATTCAAGGATGGATGATGGACGTTGGTATTTGGCGAACATCATATTTCTTTTGTTTCCTTTTTGTTAAGGAAGTTCCAGGGAGCTGGAGTTAGGGACATAAGACGTTGTGTTCTTCTTGTGACAACGACTGAGTCTTTGCAACAGCATCAATTCTGGTTTCAGAATGGTTGGCTATGTCAGGTTTTTCTGTTCTTCGAAGAGAACTTCTTTTGTGTCTGATCTAGCTTGGGAATGGCGTGGAGATTGTGCGTGGAGGGGATGCCTGGTTACTCGGATCTGTACGTATACTTGAACATCGAGGTGGTCATTGGTCTAGTTCAATGAAGTCCTTTTCTGCGAAGTCAAGTCGTACTCTAAATCCTTTGAGTTGTGATTGTGAGCGGCATATCGATTGTAGTTGGTTATTCTCTCTCGAGTGTAGTGAGGTCGTCTTGTCTTTTGATGTTCGTCCTTGGTGTTGTATTCTGATCTATATATTGTATCATGTGATTTTACATTTTATAAAACTTTTATTAGTTTAGTATTTTTTAATAATGATTTTTGTTAGTTGTTTTCACAAAAGCTTTTTTGTTTTAGTTCGGTTATTTTGAAGAGTTACTCACCCTTGAGTAGCTCTTATTAAAAATAAAGGTGTGGTCACAAAGCGTGGATGTAGCGCGGTGGGTTAGGCCGGCTATAGAGCATGCTCAGGACGTCCTTTCCTGGTGGGTTAGGCCAGGTGTGGGAGTATGATTTCATGCGGTTTTTGTGAGGGGTCCTGTTATGTGACAACGTTTTATGTTGGGTTTGTTGTGGTTTTACTTATGTTTCTTTGGTTGTGTCCTTTTTTCAAAAATCAAATTGTTTGTGGTATGGGTTTGTCTTTCGACTTTTTTGTGTTTTATTATTTCTTTCTAAGACTTTGTAATAGTCTTCAAAAGAATAAATTATCCAGTTTTAAACTGGGTTAATCCGGTTTGGGTACCGTTGGTTTCCTTTTCTTAGTCATGCTGTTATTCTATGATTTGTGGTATTTAGTAAGCTGCGTTGGTTAGTTTTGTTTAGTATATGATTCCTTTCCAACCGGGTTAAAGGAAAGTTTGAAACATGTTATTATGTGTTAGAGTTGTTGAGTGTGAAAACTTGAAACTGAAATTCATTATTTTAAACAATTCTTCGTGGGCGAGCTGTGCGAGTGTGGATAGAATTTCTGTGCGAATGAATGAAAATATCAAAAGGTTAGTACTGCAATTGCATTTTATTAATTTACTGCATAGAATTTGGAAATTTACTGCTAGTTATGGGGGAATTTTAAGATATAAATTTTCATCATATGTAGATTTACTGCTTTCGGGGGAAAATTTTATAAATTAATTTACTGCATTGGTATTATATTTATGTAATTGTTGGTGCAAAAGTTTAATAGAGTCTTAAACAGTTTTGAAGAAGTTTGCTATTTTTTATTTTTCTTTTGTGAATTTTTCAGATGATCTAGGATGAAGGCTAAAAATCTAAAGAAAACATGAATAAAGAATGGTGAGTTTTTCAATATTTTAATTAGTTAGTAATACTCATTTAATTCATACTTACCTGTTAGTCGTCGGGGAAAAAACCGTGGGGGAAGATGTCGTGAATTAGTTCTGAAGTTGTGAGTAGTTTAGCTAAGATGCGGATGATATTTTTAGTTTGAAGCAGTGGCCAAAGCAATTGAAGTGCCTTAATGGTGGTTAGTTCTTCAGTGCCTACTGCAAACTCATAAGGTGTGTTTTGGATTAAGTTATATAATTTGTGGTTAAATTTAGTGTTGTGGATGAATTCTAAAATTGGGATTTCTATAGGCTGTACAAACTCGTGCGGGATAAGGAGGGGTCGGGATTCTTCAGCGTTGAAGGTCTTGGTGATGGGGCAGAAAATGTACATTTGGGTTATGGGGTCATAATTACGAAGAATACCATGAAGGTTAGTGTCTTTAATACAATATGTGAAATTTAGGAAATACGGTGAAGTGTATTTTGAATTGATGAATTGGAAACGATGGTGTGGTTGTCTAGAGGGTGTGTGGAGGTCAAAGTGATTTTGGATGAAACGATAGTAACTGTATGTATGTGTTTGTTTAGTTCGCAACATAATATCGTGTGAGCAGTGTAAATCTCTTTCGTGTGGTGCAAGGAAATGAAAGGTTAGTGAAAAGATTTGGAAGCGTTCTTTAAAACTTTCGTATGCTTGTGTGCTTGTTAGTGCTTCTGAAATAATGTGATCAAACTTTCGGTCGAAGATGTTTAGTGTAAATACATATGGTGTCTTGATGAAAAATTTCTCAGTGATTTGTGGGTTAGCGAAGCGATCTTCGTCTAAGAATTGATCTTGGTTAGCTCTGATGATGTTGTGATCGTAGTATTCTAGTGTATATTCATTAGCTCTAGGTGCAGTGTGTATTTTTAGTGATTTTTTATATCCTACGTAAGTAAATTGTCTAGCGGTGAGTGGTGTAGTTAGTCGATATAACATGTCTTTGTTTCGGTCGATATCGATGGAAGTGTTGGTTAAAGGTAAGCAAAGAGGGTTAGTGAAATGATAGTATGAGGTCCAAGAGAGAGTGGGCATTAAAACGTATTCATCTACAAAGTTGCGTGTTTCGTTAGCGTCATGAGGGGTGTTTAAGGTGTATTGTGGAAATGAGGGTAAAGTGATAGCTAAAAATTCTCTAGTGTTAGTATGCTGGGGGTGGTTGATGTATTCACGGGCTGTTCCTGGTTTTGCTGGGAAAGGATGGTTGGGGAATTTTCTTTTAAAAGTGCGGTAAGCTCTATTAGTGTTGAGTGAGGATTCAGTTGATGTGGATGATGGTGCTAATGATTCAGTATAATTTGAAGAGGGTGTAGGGGGATTGGATGAATTTGTAGTGGAGGAGATTTGGTTTATGGTCGGGGCATTAAGGTGGTAGGGTTGTTGTTGGAGGGTAATAAAATTGTCTAGCTCTGGGGAGATTCGGGGGGTATCTGGAGATGATTGGTCAGAATGGTATGAGGAGTAGGTTGGGGTAACTTGGGAAGCATAAGAGGGTGTAGGAGTGATGGGGTCAGGGTTATTTGACAATATGGGTTGAAAAGGAGGTTGAGAAAAATGAGAAGGGTTATGGAAATTATTGGATGGAGATGGTTCTGAGTCGGCAAATTCATCGGGGGTTTCAATATTCGGGTTATTTAGCTGTGAGATGGAGTATAAAACTGAAATATGTGAGTTAGTGTCGGAATTCATGCCTGATGTTACATTGCTAGATGGAAAATCGGGTGGCGGAAAAGCAAAAAGTGGTATTATTGGGATTGAAGAGGTAAGGTTGGTTGGATGGGAATTTGATCGATGGAGTGATCCAAGTTGGCGGCTCATCGTGGGCTAAAAAAATTATTATTTTGAGATTGAAAAGCGGTGGTATGGGGTTGTTCAATAATTTGTTCATAAGTGTTATCATCGTGTGATTGATGTGTCATTATATGTTGTACGGGACTTTGTGATGTGGTGAGTCTAAAATTTGGATTATGTGTGATTGCTAAATTTCGAAAATTTCGTGGGACTAGGGATAGTGGATGGTTATTTGGCAGGGGTGGTAATTGTGGTGCCGTTGGCTGTGTGTCGACATTGTTATGTTCTTCGTCGTATGTATTTTGTCGTGTTGTTATTTTTGTGTTATATTCTTTTATTTGTGCGTCTAAAAGAATTTTGTTTATAGATGTGGAAAAAATTCCAAAAAATCCTGCAAAGAGTATGCGTGCTACGCTTGCTTGTCTGTTTACTTGTGTGTGTATAGCACATGTATTGTAGATTCCTTTTAAGAGTGAGAAAAGAAATCCAATAAAGTTAAACATTGCGTATAAAATAGTCAATTTTTCTAAGATGTAGTAGGGCCATCCTAGAAAATCTAGGATCTCATTTTTGAGTGTAACAAAGCTAAAAATGTTGATTGGTGATATATCTTGGGGACGGTATTTTTCGCCGTTTAGATATATATAATCTTTAATGTCTTTAAAATATGCGCTATAGTCTTGCGTGTAGATATCGGCAAATCCTGCG